AGAACGTCCAAAAATCTGATTTGAAGCCATTTGAAGTATGATGGCGTGTGCCTATAAACCCTGATCTTGAGAAGTGGGGACAGGAGGACTTTGCAGATTTGGGGGTCATACTTGGATAGATGATGAATTCTAGGTGAGCTCATGCTATGCAAGGAGAATATCACAAAGGAAAAATGAATAATTAGGAACTCCCCATGATCTGGTGAAGTATGAGAAGGTCCACATAGACTGAGGGATGTTTTAGTCTGACAAACTTTTAGGAGTTTATGTTCTGATAAAGCAGCCAGTCTATAATGCTTCCTTTGGTCCCGTGCGCTTTCTTTTAAACCTAGTGGTTTCATATTTCGCTAACAAGTAAATATATGATTTACCCCTTACACATATAATTATCTCAACATGATATTTCTGTCATCACCATTCTATATTATATAGCATAAAGTAAATTTTCTCTCCTCTCTCTCTCTTTTTAAAAATTGTAAAATTTAGAAAAATGGGTAAACTTTTTCAAATGGAAAGCTAAAGAAAATAAATTTGGATTATATAATCAAAACCATTTGTCAACCCCTTTCATCTGCTAAAGCTCCATTAATTACTTTTAATGATAAAATAAATGAAATTAATGCAGAAATAAATGGCTTAACTTATGCTGAATTCATAGCAATACCTAATGGTTGGTTTATTTTTTAAATTGTTGTTTTTTGTTTGGTTTCTTGCTGTGGCAACTGAGCCGGGGGTACTGGGGTCACATACAGGCTAGGCAAACACATTCCCACTGAGCTGCATCTTCAGCCCTAAGCATTTCCACTGGTAATGTAGTGCGATATTTTCTCAATGATGCTGGCTTAGAAGGAAACCAGAACCTTTAAAAAGAGGATCTGAGGTGCATGCACGTTTGACTTGGTTCTGCCAGATCCGTTCTGTATTCCGTGACTCCTCTTTAACCTGGCTTTACTTTCTAGCACTGCCTTCCTTCCTTGAAGTGGTTGGTGAGTGGCGGCAGCAGATTTTTTTTTTTTATCCCTCTCCATTAAGGTATATTACTACCACTCTGAGTCTGGCACCATGGCTACTTAACAACTAAGGAACATGATAATAGCTTGTACAACTCCCACAGCAAGAGTGATCGGTTGAGGGCTGGACCAGCACCCACATGGCAGCTCACAACTGTCTGAAAATTCAGTTCCAGGAGATCTGACACCGTCATACCAATGCACATAAAATAAAGATAAATAAATCATAATTTAAAAAAAAAAGAGTGATCGGTTGAGCTTCCTGTCTCTGGGGATAGACAGCTCTCACCAACAGCTAACTTGCTAGGAGAAACTCAAGCCATGTGGAGAAGCCCTGGGCTGGTATGCATTTTGACATCCCATGGTGTTCCCAGCTGATGTCTGGTTTCACCTGTGAGCCATGAGCCACCTTGAATGCTTCAGCCTCATTGTGCCTTGAGCTGACTACAGCCCCAGTTGAGGTCAAATAGAGCAGAGAGGCACCCAGCTGAAATCAGTCTACCTGCAGCCTCGGGGTGGTGGTTGTAAAGCTGTTTCAAGACAGTTGGTTCCAGAGCAGCAGGTAATTGAAATACCTTCTCCAGAAGAGTCCTGGAACTGAGGCCCTGGGAGAAGGGACGAATCCCATTTCAACTGTGAAGAGATAATCTTTGAATTGCTATGTCTAATCCTTATCACTAGTCTTTGAAAGTCACATGGCCAAACTTAAGACTTTCATTTTAGAAACTGGGTACCTTTAAGCTTTCTTACATTAAAGTTTATTTTATTTATTGGTTGCATATTCTAGTTTCCTTTTTCTCTCATTGAATGGAGACAGAAAATACATAATCGGTATTATATTTTTAAAAGAGTATTTCTTTTCATTAGTAAGAGCATGAGTCTGGCTTCAAAATCTCAGTCCTATCATTTAATAGCCAGTGCCTGGCTAAATTTCCTGAGTTACCTGTCTCTTTAGTTTGAAGGTAAATGGACTTTAAAGGGTGAGAGAACCTCAGACATAATGTGTATTAGATCTTGAGAGTTCCTAGCACATAGGTGGAGCTCAATAAGTGCAGCTTTTATTGTTATGAAGGAGGTGGTAATTACAGGGTTTTAAAAAGCAGTAAGATTTTGTCTCATTTCATGTTTCTGAGAGCACATGGGAATGGGTGTTCCTGGGTTTCATTAAGGTGGCATTTACAGGGTTAACAATGGTATGCCCTTGAAGCTCCTCCTATAAACTCATAGGTTGCATCCTAAGAAAGCTCCAGTCATTGCCCCTGTTTTGCTGGCTTCCTCACACTTTTATTGCTGTGGAGGATTTGATAGAGGGATAAAGGCTTCTCCTGGTCCTCAGGGCAGAAGTCATGGAGAATTCCTTTTTTTCTGTATGTCTATCCTCCCTTTTCCAATTCCATCCACTTTCTAATTTAATGGGAAAGAAAGCCGTTTTATAGGAAGCTGGATTTCTGCAAGCTAATCTTAGGAGCAAGGAGCCCCAAAGTTCACAAAATGTTCACCCATGGAGGAAACGTACATCCGAAAGTCTGAGTTGTGCAATCCAACCCAAAGGGTGCAATCCAACCCCAGGAGTCGGCCTCTGATGTTTTGTCCTACCCTGTGGGTAACGCGATCCTTTTCTTTGTAACTGACAGGAGTTTTTAATAGCTCAACCAGAAAATTGGTCAGCCCCCTTTGCTGTGATTAAGGTTAATACGACAACCAGAGAATGAGCTAGCAGTCTTTTCGGTGACTGTGGTAATTGCCACTGGTGCCAGCCATAGGACCCCTTTACAGAGCTGGGGGTCATGTTTTTGCTGTTCCCCCAACACCTGCCAGGCTTGAAGCTACCTGATCCCTTCCAATCTCTGAAGTTTAAATGACCTTGGCTATGGATAAGCTCCAGTTCAGTACTTGAAGGTAAGGTTTGGAAACACCAAGTATAATTGGAGAGGGTAAGCACGGAAGGAACTTGTGTTAGGATACTTATGTGAATATCAGTACTTAAAACCTCAAGTTGTAAGCGCTTTAGGGGTTTCTTGCACTCTAAAATGTCACGTCCATCCCTAGAATCTTTCTTAAGAAAACTCTCGTTTCTTTAAAATCAAGTTGATGGAGGCAGAAAAGAACCCTATGAACCACTGCAGAATATTGGCCACTGGTTGTGCGGAGGTGAACGCACGCTGACTCATTTTGCCTGTGAGCTTGTCATAATCCTGGTTCCCATTATGCAAATCGGGTCAGGCTTTTGTTGTTGTTAGTGATGGGACTGAAAACACAGTTTAAGGTACTAATATCCTTTGAATCATTCATAATCATTGAGTAATTTCATCTAAAAGGAAATGATAATATTCTTACCTTCTGGCTATTTGAAAAGACGCGTGTGTGTTTCAACGCAGTAGAGTTGTGCTGTACAAAATTGTGTGTTTAGTGAGGATTTTCCTAAGACTTGAGCATCATCTTCCACTGCCCTGGGACTGTGTGTGATGGTGCTGTAAGATAGATTTAGAGAGACTTTTGAAGACTCCTATTGACATAGGTAAATAGAACGGTGCCTTGGAAACCATTTGGATGTCCAGGCTTACTGAAGTGTGGCTTGAAGGATCAGATGCACAGAACGTGTAATGACATGTTACAGAATGTCCCCTGGAGCCTGTGCTCTCTCTGAGTGTCTTCCATTTCGTCCAGTCCTTCAAGGACTGTTCCAAAAGAAAAACAAAACAGAAATCAGCTTGGAAGTTGTTTGTAAATTAAAACTACTGCAACCCAGTCCACAAGGCATGCTCTTGTAGAAAATCTCTAATACTTGCAGTGCGATTATAGCCGAGGACATGTGGTGTACATTACAGTGTCCAGGGAATTCAAGCCTCCTCTGCAGCGAGGAGACAACATGAAAGTCTAATTTGAAAATGAAGTGGTAGCCCTTACTCTTCTTGCAGCCTAGTGTTTCTCTTACATTGACATTATTCTGGTCTGCTCTGGATGGGACTAGGGAATTGCAAATAGAAAGAACAGAGAGACAGAGAGATCCAGGCTTTTTCCCTTCCCCTACCCCACCCCCACACCCCACTCTGCCCCAGCAGGCACTCAGCATACTGCAAAGTCTTAAGCCTCTAGGAAGGGTGTGAAGGCAGAGCTGTCCATGGTTAGAAAACAGTATTCTAACTGCTGGTCGGAAATCAGGTAATAAGAGTCCTGTTAGTGAACAAAACTTATTAGAGGGCTGGCTAGGGAAGGAATGCTGTCTCTCAGCAGCGGGCAGGAAGAAATTGCTGCTGAAAAGCTTTCCTCCCTGGGGAGGAGTCAGATAGCAGACTTTGCCAAGCCTCAGGTCTAACCCAGAAGGTCCCACCTCCACCCCCTACTCCCACCCTCACCCACTCCATCTCAGCATTGTTAGATTGCTAGCATCGATCCCTGGCTTTTTCTGACCCCATAGTAGGTGAAGGAAAGAGAGCCAGCAAGATCGAAAGCAAGCAAGGTGGAGCTTGGGGTGGGAAACTGGGGCCAGCTTTAGTAGGGGGAAATAGAAAGAAAAGGGGTGGAGGCCAGGGAGACCCAGTTTGACTGCTGCCTGGCTGCTTCTCTTTGCTCTGATGGCCTTTATTCCTTCTAATTGGATAAAATAGGAAGTCACTGGCAGCCCTGTGTTGCTGGGTGTACTGTACTCATTACAGACCAGCCCAGCCAGCAGTAGAGTGGGGACAGAGAGAGAGAGAGAGAGAGAGAGAGAGAGAGAGAGAGAGAGAGAGAGAGGAGAGAGAGGAGAGAGAGGCGAGAGAGAGAGAGAGAGAAGTGTGAAAATATATATTTAAGATGAAGAAGGGCGAAAAAAAAGAAGCCATGAAGAAGGAAGACTGCAGAGGAAGAAAGTGACTGAGCGCAAGAAGGACAAAGAGGAGTGGTTGGGGGTGGGGGTGGAGGCAGGGCGGGGATGGGAGTTACCGCCCCTCCTGGCTCCGGCTGCCCTCGCAGCCCCGTGCAATGGTACTGTTTGCAGTGATGCTCAGAGGGCAGGCACCTGCTGCTCTGTAATGATTCAGCCTCTTTCAGCCACTGCGTTCACACGACAGGATGCTGTTGCTACTGTCGCTGCTGCCTCTCCTGCCGCCGCCGCTGCTGCTGCCGCCGCCGCCTCTGGTCTTGCTTTTGCTTTTACTTCTTCTGCATGACAGTTGTTTTCTTCCTCTAAGCAGACACCAGCTTCAGACGCTTGAGGTGAGAAACATGCCTTTCAGTTTGGGATACTGGTTTACTTAACGAGCCAGGCATCGGCTCACTTCCTATTTTGGTCCCCCGCTTTCTTGACCAACCGGGATGGTTTGGAGAAGCCTTTGAAAGAACTGGAAAAGTGTCCCAGAAACAAGCTCAAGATATTTCGGTACACTTCTATTTCGTAGTTGCTAGAAGCCCTTTCTTCTTTTTCTCCTTTTCCTTGGTTCCTCCTTGAGCTCTCTTACTTTTGATAATGGCCTTGGACTTGGATGCCTTATCGATCTCCCCCTCCAAGATGCTGTATCATTTGGTTGGGGGGAGCTCTGCATGGTAACGCACTGTGAGACAGGCCAGGCCTTCTGGAGGTGAGCCGATGGAGATTTATTCCCCAGACATGTCTGAGGTAGCTGGCGGGAGGTCCTCCAGCCCCTCCACTCAGCTGAGTGCAGACCCATCTCTCGATGGGCTTCCGGCCGCGGAGCACATGCCAGACACCCATACTGAAGACGGGAGAAGCCCTGGACTCCTGGGCCTGGCAGTGCCCTGCTGTGTGTGTCTGGAAGCTGAGCGCCTGAGAGGGTGCCTCAACTCAGAGAAGATCTGCATTGTCCCCATTCTGGCTTGCCTGGTCAGCCTCTGCCTCTGCATTGCTGGCCTAAAGTGGGTATTTGTGGACAAGATATTTGAATACGACTCTCCTACTCACCTTGACCCTGGGGGGTTAGGCCAGGACCCTGTTATTTCTCTGGATCCAACTGCTGCCTCAGCTGTGTTGGTGTCATCTGAGGCATACACTTCACCTGTCTCTAGGGCTCTGTCTGAACCTGAGGTTCATGTTACAGTGCAAGTTGACAATGTTGCTGTGGCCTCTGAACCTTCAGCAGGACCAACCCGGAAGAACCATCTGCCTGCTTTTCCTCCCTTACTGTCTACCGTGCCACCCTTCCCTTCTCCAGCTCGGACCCCTGAGGTGAGAACACCCAAGTCAGCCACTCAGCCACAAGCAACAGAAACTAATCTCCAAACTGCTCCTAAACTTTGTAAGTAGAGAGATGATGATGATGATGATGATGATGATGATGATGGTGATGGTGATGGTGGTGGTGGTGGTGGATAACAGAGAGGGTGGGCAGGAGTTTCTGAAGGGCCAGCTATTTCATTTGCTCTTTCATTTTGACTGGAAGGTTTTGTTTGATGAATCATGTGATGGGGTAAGGTGGGGGGGGGACACACAACCATGTAGACCCTTAGGATGAATCAGGTTTTTTGTTTTTTTTTTTAACAGCAGCTTTGTGTAGCAAGTTTAAGTCTGAGGTTGTTTGTCAATCAAAAACTGCAAGCATCTTTAGTCATGCTTTGGATTTAAGCTAAATTCAATTTATTTGTAACAGTTTTAGAAGTGAATGCCTGACTGTCCTTCATATTTTAGTAGACATGTAACTTCAGTATGCTGATAGTATTATTTGATGCCCCCTCCCCCCCTTATAGAGTTCCTTTTGCCCCTCTTCCGTTCTGTCTCCCTGGAGTCCCAAGCTGCCTGTCATCTGTCCTCAGGTCTTCCTCCTGACCCTTCCTCACATCTCTGTACTTTTGAAATTTCATTGTTTGATCCCGATGCGGCAGCAAGTCTTCGGACAACCTGCTCCCTCCCCTGTCCTCAGACCCTGGCTGTGCTGCACGGGTCATCCTTTCGGTTTCTGAGTACTTGGCAAGGTAGTTTTATTTTGTTCAAGACAGACTGCAATTCTCCACAAAGGGATTTTCCTCAACTAGTCCTGTCTTCTGTAATCAAATATTTAAATAGATTCCTGGCCAGTCATTAAAAACTGCAGGGACCATTAGTAAGGGTGCATCTTGTTTTAATTTTTCTTTCTTTCTTTTTTTACTTTTAAGACATGTCATGTAACCCATCGTGTTGCCACAGCCTGGTTTAATAACCTGTGTCTGAAGAGACTCTAAGCTAATAAAACAATATAGAATGAAACCCTGGTGTGTGCAGAGGTCATTGCCTTAGCTTTATGACAGAAAGTTGACAGCTCTGTAGCCAGGACTGGTCAAGTTGTTCCAAATGTCAGCCCAGGGCTTTTTTGGGGTTGCAACATTTAAAGAAATGTTTTCGGTGTCTCCTGTTTCTTCTGTCTTCCACCACCCTTTATCTTTTGCCCTTGGTGAGTTAGTAGAAGGAAGGGAAGAGGTGAGAGCGTTTGATTCCCAATGACACATGGAAAACCTTTTACTGTTCAAGAACTGCTAAAGTAGAGAATCTGATGAGATGCCCCTTCAGCGTTCCCACTAGACTCTGAGGAAGAGTAAGCGAGACCTCCTTCAGACAATAATGTTAAGAATGAAGTTGTGCCGTGTACGACAGAAATGCAGGAAGAAAAAAAAAACCCTTGATATGTGCTTGTGATTCAAGATCTTTTGACATGTCCCAGCTTCAGTGCAAAGGTTTCCAAAGGATGCTTGCTTCTCCAGGTGCAATTAGGAGAGCCTCCCGTACGCAGCCGCTGCTTTGTGTCTTTAGCAACTCCCCAAAGTGTTGTTAGCGCTCCAGCAGACACCTCTGCCTCTGCTGCCTCTTCCCACCTGGCAAAGTGACCGGGAAATAATACCCAGATGAAATGACAGGCTATAAAAAGCAAGTGCGGATCCTGCAGAGAGAGGCAGAATTCGCCATGCAGACAAGGTTACTGCTTTGTCTTTATGGTTTTCAACTGAGCGCTCCAGTTAAAATGTGCTGGCACAGGTTGAACTGCCCAGAAAAAAAAAAAAAATGAAGGGAGCTCTTTGAAAAACTCTTTAGCCAAACTAACTTTGCCATCTGGTGAGCAAAGACACAAACAGCATACATCCCTGATCTAGGACCCTATTAGAAAGGACTTGGGAACTTTTGAGAAATTGGCTTTGAAGGGAAATTTTTACTAAGAGCTTTCATAGACTATCAATGCGCCTCTCTCTCTCTCTCTCTCTCTCTCTCTCTCTCTCTCTCTCTCTCTCTCTTTCTCTCTTCCTCCCTCCCTCCCTCTCTCCCTCCTAGTCAGGGCATTGATTTTATGGCATTAACAATAAGTAGGGAAGATTTACTGCTGCCTAAAAGCCTCACGGCTGCAGCTGCTCTCAAATGTGTCAGATGTAGTGTCTGGGAAGCAGTTTTCACTTGAAAAGTTGGGAGCAGGGGTTCAGGTGTACAGTTCATTAAAGCTCTAAACCTGCAGGGTTCTCTACTGTGGAAAAAAAATGTAACTTTTTGGACTAGGCAGCTTAAAGAGCATCCTCAATGTCTTTGAGCCGGGGTCCAGTTGGTCTGGGCATGTTTGTTTGCAGACTTCAAATCAGTCCTTTCGAAAGGCCATAATTGTTAAATCAAGGGAGAAGGCAATGCTTAGCATGGCCCTGTCGTCTTGTAAGCTTCTTCATCTGTGTCAGTGAAGAAAGTTCAGATTAGCTGCAGAAAGAACCGGGCTTTCTTTCATCATGCAGGGTTTGACTTGGGCTGAGGCACCATGGCTTTGGTTTTCAAGTGACATGGCTACCTCTGAACCATGCTTTGCCATGGGTTCCGGACCGTACCGCCCCCATTCCCGATTTCCTCCTGTCTCAGCATGTTCAGCATCTCAAGCTCAGAGCTCTAGCCTTCAAGGTCATCCTCTGTGAAGGGCTAATTGATTCTTCTTTCTCCTGGAGCCTGAGAGAGGGGAAGAGTGACAGACATAGCCCTTAAGTCTGCTCTTAGTCCCAAGCCTAATTGACTGCTGTAAGTTTTTACGTTATAAATACTTGAATTATTCCCTTCTTCAAGGACTGTCGTCAAATCACAACATTATCTTTGGTAGAATAAAAGACAAAACATGGCATTCATTTTTAATTGCCTGTAGGTGTAGTATTTATGTTAGATTTCTAAAAATGAGTATTTTTGATAAGGTAATATAATTTTTCATGTTTTCACTATATTAAGTGCACATCAGATTTTAAGAAATTGAATGTAAAACTGGAATGATGGAATGAAGACGTCTGTGTTTGTATTTTTTATTCTGATGTTTTTCTATCACTGCAATGATTAGGTTATTACTATTAAGCTTGTGATTTTTATAAAGTCACATAATACTTAAAATTGTTGTGTCTCTCTGTTGCTGTAGTATAAACCCCAAAGACTCCTTTGTGCTAGATATATCTCCTATTATATTCCCAGTCTGAACCATTAATTTATTTTCTTTAGCTAAGATTTAAAATTTTTTTTGTCCTCCATTTACATGAAAAGAACTGGCTTTAGGGAAGTTAAAAGCTTCTATTACCAGAAAAGGAGCTGATTGATTATATTTTACCCAGGAACCTGTGGTACCATCTTGAAAGAAATTGTTTGTTGGATGTTGGACCGTCTTTGTAAGCAGACTCTTGCAGACAAGAGTATATTGGTATTTTTTATCTTAGGCCAAATTTGTTTGGCTTTGTCTGAAACCGTCATTGGGCTGCATGAGAAGCTGTTGTTGCCACACTAACAGCTTGAACCCCACCATCTGCAAAAGATTCACATGGTGCATTGACCACCCCAAAGCATCTCTTTCCTTGATTTCAAAGCACCTTCCATTTTTAATCTAAGTGCATCCTTCTCCCCTCTCTGGATGACAGGAAGGTATGTTGGAACAGCACAATTCTAGTAACTTCTCTCCACCTTACCCTCCCATGTTTAAAATGGAAGGCAGTAAGAATTGCAAGAGGCTGACAAATGCCTATGTTTTGAATCCAATGCCTGAAACAAGGATGGTAATCCTTTTATTCTAGTTCCAATTCCCTAACCAGAAGTGTTCAATGACATCTAAAACAGAAGAAAATATAGCATTCTGTACTCCTGATGTTAAGCAAGCTTGTACGTGTGCACATGTATGCATGGACACACACACACACACACACACACACACACACATACACACACGTCCATAATCACCACTATTTCCTCCTGTCATCTCATCCCTCTGCTTGTGCCTTAAAGCTGGAGACTAACTCGAGTGTTTTAAGTGGCATTCAACTAGCAATTAAGCAGGTACTTCAACCAGGACCACTTGCCAAGCATGTAGGAGTCACATGACTAAAATTGAATTTTCCTCTCATCTTCCTGTTCTGCTTTTATTGAATTTTCTGTCAGGGTATTCTTCTCCCTCTGCACTGGATCAGCCATACAGTGTTCTGCTTGCTGATGGAAACAGCTTGGGATGCCCAGGGTGAGCTGTTTCCCGAGATGCAGCAGATGGCTGTGTGGCTCACCTCTTACTGGGCATCCCACTTCTGAGATTTCCTCCATATTCCTTTGTGACATACAGATCAATCTTTTTCCTTCCTGCCTTCCCAACTGTGGTTTGAGTATGTCTTATTGTCATGTCTTTGCCATTTGACTTTATACATCAATATCTTGCTGAATTTTAAATATCCCTGCCTGTCTTTTCACATGCCACTTGATTTTATTTTAATACTGAATGGCATTTCTGTACACTACAAGCACACATGCAAAACCCTTGTCTCCAGCTAGTAAAAGACATGCATGTTTCTTTTTAGAACAATCAGCTGAAGCTTTTTCCTCCTTCTTCGTCTCTCCTTTTTTTTCTCCTGTGCCAGATGCAAGCTTTTCCACCGACTCCGCGATGTCATTGCACCTGTCACCATTTATGAATTCTCAGAAAATGATAAAATGATTATGTCCCAAGCCAGGCACCTGAGTTCTTCCTCCACTCCCTTTCCTTTTAACACCACTTCGCTGTCGTATCCCTTCAGAGCAGGAAGGGGGAGATCATACAGATTGAAAAAGAAAACCCTATATATTAAATAAGTTCTCGCTGTCTGGAAGCTCCTGAACACTAAAGCTATGACTCTTGTTCTCTGAGCCTACTGAACGTTCAACTAAGCCCCAGAGTCTACCGCATCTAGTTTTCTGCTCACTTTTTTCGTTGTGTCATCTCACTCTGTCCAGTGTTGCTGGCTTTCTCTTGTGACTTCCTTCAACAAGGGCAGAGTAAGTGCACAGTTTGTACTTGCCACTGCACTTGTCTAC